ATAGTTACTACAACGGATGTTGCAATGGCACCTTCTGGCCGCTGTTCCACTCGATGCCGGATCGCGCGACCTTCATCGGCGACAACTGGAAGGCGTATATCAAGATCAATGAGGAGTTCGCGGACAAGACGGTGCATGCTTTGCATCTGCTGCAACAGGAGAGCAAAGACAAGCCATGCTCGCCCCCCATCGTCTGGGTGCACGACTACCACCTTATGCTTGCCGCTAATTGGATCAGGCAGGTTGGTACACTTTTTGAGGCATTACCTGCATATTTAGGTCCACGCTAGCTGTTATCCTGCTTTCAAAGGGCCATTAAATGATTTGAAAACCTCTGATTATTTTGAAATACTGATTTATTGAATATTGCTTTGTCTGTTTTCAGCGTGTGGAAGAAGACGATTTAAAATGCAAGCTAGCCTTCTTCCTCCACATACCATTCCCGCCGTGGGACATATTTCGTCTATTCCCTTGGTCCGACGAGGTCTTGCAAGGCATACTAGGTACACTAAAATGCTCTTTCAGTTAAAGAGGTCATTCGCGTTGATAAGATACCGTTTACATTGACATTGTGAACCCGCTATATTTTTATCTAATTCATACAGGATGCGACATGGTCGGTTTTCACATTACCGACTACTGCTTAAACTTCATTGACTGTTGCCAACGAAACTTGGGTTGTCGTGTGGACAGAAAGAACCTGCTGGTGGAGCTCGGCGGCCGGACCATCTGCGTGAGGCCGCTGCCCATCGGCGTGCCCTTCGACAGATTCGTCCAACTGGCACAGAACGCCAAGGCGGTCCTGTCGACCAGTCAGAAAGTCATCCTCGGAGTCGACAGACTGGATTACACCAAGGGTCTGGTTCATCGACTGAAAGCGTTCGAACGGTTGCTGGAAAAGCATCCCGAACACATCGAGAAAGTCGTCCTGCTGCAAATCTCGGTGCCGTCGAGAACCGACGTCAAGGAGTACCAGGATCTCAAGGAGGAGATGGATCAGTTAGTCGGCAGGATTAATGGAAGATTCACCACTCCCAATTGGTCTCCGATCAGGTAAGCAATATAAATTGTTTTACTTTGTTCAGGTTTCCGAATAAGTAAATAAATGACATCCTATTTACTGTTTCAGGTACATTTACGGATGCGTGGGCCAGGACGAGCTGGCGGCGTTCTACCGCGACGCGGCGGTGGCGCTGGTGACGCCGCTGCGCGACGGCATGAACCTGGTGGCGAAGGAGTTCGTGGCGTGTCAGATCAACAAGCCGCCCGGCGTGCTCATCGTGTCGCCCTTCGCCGGCGCGGGGGAGATGATGCACGAGG